GATCAGTGGACTGCGAACTATGTCAATGTGGTAAAACGGTTATTAAGGCCTTTTCGGATCCAATTTGACTTGCTTCAAAACCCAGTTCGACACAATTTTGATTCCTGGTCTGGCGATACTATACCCTTGCTGTCCGTCTCCATGCTCTAGTGGATAGAGCGTCTGCCTTGAAAGAGGAAGGTCGGTGTTTTAATCTCCGCAGCGTCATACTGAAATACTTAAACAGATGTAGCTTGTTGTTACCCTACCTGGCGCCCGGCATTAAGGGGATAAAGAAATAACTGGTTGGCTCGGAGTCAGTATACTGTCGTACTGATCAATGTTAACGGAACAAGCTCTAGTCACAGTACATGAGACCCGTGAAGATATGGGGTAGAATAGGTCTTCAGCAATCCACGCTTGTCGTAAAAGGCGAATATGCTTGTCGAGAAAGGCGACTAAAGGGATCGGGTGATCAAGTTTCCTGACTTTGTTGATGCATGTCATCGTATTCCAATTGCGTGGATCGATGTTCATGATGTCAACTACTGGACTGTCTGGTCCAGACCCGATTATTTACAGACCGCCGTCATATTGATGGAGTATTGCTGAGTGCGGCGTTAAACAACAACAACAAAAAACAAGAAGAAAGAAACACTGTACATGTTATATATACTATATGCATGGAGCTGGTACTTGATATGACGAGTCCCTCATCACTAAGATAGATGGGTAAAATAGGTTTTCAGCAACCCAAGCGTACCGTAAAAGGCGACTCTGCTTGTCGTAAGAGGCGACTCACGGGATCGGGTGGTTAGGCTCGCTGACTTGATTGATGCTTGCCATCGATTCCAATTGTGTGGATCGATGCTCATGATATTAATCACTGGATTGTCTGGTTCAGACTCGATTTTTTACAGACCGCCGTCATATAGCTGGGATATTGCTGAGTGCGGCGTTAAACAACCAACCAAACAACCATCATGACTACATACGAGGTGGACACTGCATGGTACAGGAATAGTTTACATCAATGGTTACATGACAATACGGTCGGAACCAAATTATGTTCTATGTGGTAAATTGAGGGTGTTAAAACAGGCTATATATCACAGCGCAGGTGACAACAGTACCCACGGAAAATGAATAGACCATGCCCTACACTGAGTATCCAATTGGACAATTAACCTATGGTAATAGCACAAATAGTGATACTTTAATTCTCACGTGGTTTTGAACAGAGAGTGATTCCGAATAAACACATTAGATGTCAATATGAGACAAGAGGTATTTTTTGGATTGAGATAACGTGACAATTTTTTGTGAAATATGTAGTGATGTTCTTCTCCCCCGTGTCAACTATGAATGTCAGAAGTGGAAACCTGTGAAAAATGACTCACAGCTTGCTTCAATCCATTATTACCAGGCAGATGTTACTCCACTGATTGTCGTGTCAAACACCAACTTCGAGTGTGGATGAAAAACAACACGGACGTATTCACATTATTTTCGACAGAAACAATATATCTGTAATTGTGTATCCCAAGCAAAAAACACGCAGTTCCCATTTGGTTAGAAAAGTGTTTTCGACGTCGGTTGATCATGCGATCCTTCTTTCTGGTTGTATCGATTGAGATGACAAAGCGGAAGAAGCGTCTCACAAATATCGGTAAACCTAGCTATATTTTTTTTTCTTCTTCCCATCAGTGATATTGCGTACATGTCCCCCTCACATGATCACTTGATGTTTCGTGTCAGACATGTACGATGTGTGTGGGATGGGGTTATTGCATGTCTTTCTTTACGGTTTAGAGGGATGTCAAGGAAGTGATGGAAATGTGTGCATGATGCTGCAGCAGCAGGAGATGGAGAGTGGTGTTTACATGAACAAACTAGTCAGAGTCTCTCTCAGCTGTGTGTATATATTATATCATTGTAAAGGCACCAACAGAGTACGTAATAGTGGTCTGTAGGTGAGCATACTATAGTTCAAACTGAGTCACATTTTCTTTTTGTATCATACTACAGACTCAAAATTAATTCGCCCCCGTGCCTGCCCTGAGAGCAGAATATAAAAACCGGCATTGGACATGTATTTTTCACACATTCCCCAACAATCTCCTTCACGGCTACTGGTTTCTGAAAGAAAAGGGTTAATCTCCGCTGGGATTCCCCGTCATCATAAGCGTGTTCATTTCTTGTTCATAAACAAGTTCACCGTGTGTACTGTAAAACTGTATGTGTTTGGGGATCTGCTTTTTCATATCATGTAGTCGGTATCAGATCGTAACACTTCAGCTTGTCCGCTGAAGAGCGACACAAAGTCATTATTTTCGCTGACTTTGCGAGGAGTTCTTGTTTATGGTGGGGCCTTTGGGGTAGCACAGCTGTAAAAGTGTTCGCTTGTCACGCCAAAAGCCCGGGTTCAGTTCCACACATGTACATGGGTACAATGCCTGAAGCCACTTTCTGGTGTTTCCTGTGGTGATATTGCTGGAACATATATTGTTGCTAAAAGAGGCATAAAACTATTCTCAATCAGTCTTGTTTATGAAATGCTTTAAAAAATGCAGTACGCTCACCTCGGATGTTATAAAAAGTGTCCGTGGTTGACATTGTTAGATTACTGGACACAATGGTCTCATCGTCAGCTGGTCGGTTAAGTGCTACGTTTATACAGTCTTGTCCTCATTGTATGAATATTTATACTGCAGGAACTGACACAACAAAGCGAAAGTCAATTCTAAAATGATTTATTGCATATCTAGTTATTCATACACGTATTGTGATTGAACACAATCAGTAAATATGCACATTTATACACATTTGTTTTTTAAATGTCGGTTTTTCTGAATCCTCTTTAAATGACATTTCCATGGCAAGGACACGATTGGCGCCATCGTCATACTTGATGTTTTTATGCCATTGGTATACCATCAATACACATACAGATACATCTCACCCATGAGTTGATGTGATCATTGTGTCAAATACATACTGAGCTGATGTTGACTAAGTGAAGTAATTTAAGCCCAGGTTTTCAAATCTCGGTTACTTTACGTCTTCCCGGGGCAAGGGAGTTTACTGAATATAAAAGTCCAGTTTATACCCTTGCCAAACTAGGATGGAATTATTGAGTTTTGGCTGGACTAACGAGTCTATGCATAGTCTAATCAAAATCGTGAAACGAAATCGACATCCGGTTCGTAAACTACCCTGCAGATTTCGGTTGATTTCAGGATTTGCAAAGTATGTGTACCGTCAACTTTGTGTCAACAGATATTTTCCAGATCTGTTTTAAATCAAGGTGATCGTGTGATTTGATGCACTTCGCGGAGTAAGACCCGTTGTATCGTCTTGTCTGGGCGCCGCCTTTTTGTTTGAAGCAAATGCAAGTGATATGATAGGTGGACTCTGATTGCCAATAGGAGAAACATAGAAAGGACATAACCCAGAAGTCCCAGCCTATTTCGGCAAGGGTGGAAACAAGGACTTTTACAGTCAGTTAACTCCCTTGCCTCGGGAAGATGGTTACGTTATTGCCAATGTTACCCCCAAACAATCGTTAAATACTCAACGACGCGTCAATTAAGGTTAGCAGAGCCTAACATGTTGTTAAATTTAATCTCACAGTTAACACTTCATTCAAGGGAAGTAACTCTACTTTGCTGGGGATGTTGTGATGCTCTTCGGCAGAGTTCGTCCTTCAGTGTATGAGTCATTATCTTGGATGTTGTGCTGCTCATTTGTTGTGGCCGTCCCTCAGTATAGGCGTCAGTGTCTTGGATCCTGTGATCTATGGTGTACGTTTCCCAAACTGACACCCACCATCAATTAATAACTGACTTCCGTCTGACCAATATTCGCTTCGTCATTACGTCAGGTCCTATTGAGCCCTGACACTGAACGATTAATCTGCCAGACTTGATTATCAGACAACCAACGTCTGGCCATTATCCCATTCAACCTGATATGAAACACGTCTGACTCGCTGGCTGGACGTATAAATCATAAATCATGAGAGAAGTTGTCAACGATGTAAACCCTGCTGACGTTCCATACATATAATGGATGGCTCGGAAAATGATCACTTATTGAAAATGATCACAACATGCTTACCTCTATCAAACAACTGCAGAAAAGGTCATGGAACTCATTTCATGACGTGTCTAGAAATAACTATGAAGGTGAAAGCTGCACTACATGGAATTAAAACACCACAATCAGGACTGCTGCTCCAGTTATATGTCGGTGCCTAACTCTAACAAAGAGTATTCCTGTACATGTGACAATATATGACTTATTAATTCAAAATACACAGATATCAATATCCGAGAAATGTCTATTTGTATGATCGAATCACATACCTTGTCTCAATATATCAGTGTTTCTGTCTCTCAACATTGTCGGTTTTGAGATTTGGGCCAAGATTGGCTCTGCGGTGTGAGGCACCGCAATTGGCTGTGCATATTTGAGTTCCTCAGTCGAGCAGGGATGTCCCCCGCTCCCTTGCCTTAACCCGCAAAGGCAGATTGGCACTATTTCAGTGTTTGATTTGTCAGTAACATACTAGGTTCAATCAATGTGGAAATGGTCTTCGATCCACTTCCCTTGGCCTTCCATTTACATTGGCGAGTGAGTGAGTGAGGCTGGTTTAACGTCGCTTTGAACAGTTCTTTTTATTCAGTTCTATCAAGGCGTGTCAGCTTGATATTGGATGAAAGCCTTTTAAGTTTCAAACGTTTACCACTTATGGTGCCAGAAAACCAAAAAGCATAATCAAATCAAATCTTGGATTCGAACCCAGGATCATAGGTTTCTGACCTGTGATACTGATATTTATTTTACAGTATACGGTGTTATACAAACTGATAAACACAGCTGCTTGTTACTTTTATACTTAATATATATATATATACTATTGTAACATGCAAATAACTGAAAACAATTTCGAATGAATGAAATTATACAGTATGCGTTGATCTTCTATTTACTAAATGATAGCCTTTGTTTTCCTACAGGTCGAGCCGACCTATCGGACGAGAAACTGTTGATACGGACGCTACTGGAGGACTATGCTAAGCTTGGTAAGATGGGGCGACCGGTGAAGCAGCAAAACGACACTTTGCCCATCTACTACGGTCTCAGCCTCATACAGATCCTCGATCTGGATGAACGCAACCAGATCCTCAGCACGAACGTGTGGGCGTCGTATGTGAGTCCCATCTTGGCACATAACGTGTGGTTTTACCATTCATTGTTTGGTTTGTTTGTTTGTTGTTTGGTTGGCTGGTTGGTTGGTTTACTCACTAACTGACTGACTGACTGATAACTTGTTCATTTGTAAGTTTGTTTCTTTGTAAGTTTGTTTCTTTGTTCATTTATTCATTTATAACATGCATGTCGTATGAACCAACACGAGTACAACACGTTGAGATGGCAACACGGATTAGCAGTGTACATGTATTTAGATACTTAAACATAGATACAACATGTTACTGAAATGATCCCCATGGATATAATATTTATGTACACATTACAGCATGGATAAAACGGACAGTACGGACAGTAAAACATGTTATAGCATGTTTTATGGAGACATAAATATGGATATAACATGTTTTGTACGGAAGTTAAACATGTTATAGCATGTTTTTTTTAGACATAAATCTGGATATATAACATGATTTGTACGGATAGTTAAACATGTTATAGCATGTTTTATAGAAACAGCAATATAGATATAACAGGTTTGTAGAGAACGCCACGGACATTTCATTTAACATAGAAAACAACATGAATAAAACACGCATGATATAACATTGTTCACATCAGCAACATTGATATAACAATTTGTCTGCCATAACTTATTTTGTATTTACAACAAGATGGATATAATCTCATCGAGTGACCTGGTAAAGTTGTTTTTTTTCATAAAAGTGTGTCACAAACTTTGTCACAAGATAAGATCAAGGTGTTGTTTGACAACAACATTTTCGATATGTTCAATATTTTATATATTTTCTTGCTGTTCTTTGCGATCTTTTCACTCGGAAAGTAATAGTGCCATTGGGGCAACATTGAAGTAGTGTTCACAAAGTGTTATTTCACTCAAGTGTGATATTTTCTTTTCTGCTAAAACAATATGTCATTACTAAATACATAATAACATATATAACTCATTGTTCTTTTTCAGCAATGGACGGATATATACCTGAAATGGAACGTCAGCGACTATAACATCACCAATGTGCGTGTACCTACCGATTCAATATGGATGCCAGATATCAAATTGTATAACTAGTAAGTTCGACTGATGACGTGCGCTCAAGCAACACTTCAGCTTTATAATGAAAACATAAACGTTCTGATTAGAAAACGATTTCCGTTTTTCGCCCAAGGCGTGGAATATATGTTTAAATGTTTGGTTTATTGTTATGACGTATGCATCTAGGATCAAGGCCCATATTGAGCATCATGGCTTATCATGCATCGAGGACAACGTCACACATTGAGCAAAATGGCTTAGTGTGCATATGGGACCAAGTCCTACATTGAACACCATGACTTTTCATGCACCGAGGGCCATGTAGCACATTGAGCATCATGGCCTATCATGCATCGAGGATTTAGACAAATATGCTGAGCCAGGAACAGTTGGGCAGCAACCGGTACCCCGGCCGATACCCCTTGTCTGAAACAGTGCTCATCTCCGTCCTTTGTTCGCCTCTTTGCACACGAGAAATATCACGATGATTAGATAGCCCAATGTAATTGGCTTTTTTAACCCATAGAAGTAACTAAGGTCAATCATTTTCAAAGCATTTCCGTCAGTAATTTCGAGAAAAACTTCATATGTCTGTTCAAGCATGAACATATTCAATTTATTGCGATGATACTTGGTTAACATGCATCCTTATCGATTTGGCTTCTACAGAGACACCCCATCATATGCCCCTTATCTGTATCACCCTCCCCTCCCTTTCCTCCTGCACCAGAATACGGAGTTTGATATCATATATGCACAAATACCATGCCAATGGCCTGCGGGCAGTTGTGACACGTCACATGTCCTCAATGATGTAAACGTATTTGATAATCTTCTAAAAGCTACAGCAAAGTAACTGTTTACTGAAATGTTTTCATCCAATTGATCTAGTAATATTTGCTTTCAGGATGTTCAGGGCTGTAAGAGACCAAAATAAACACTCTGCTGAGACAAATCAATCTAAAATCAATAGTAACTAATCACTGATCTTTCGAAAGGCGATGATATATTGATATCTGTTTTGGAAAACAACATTAGTTTTACAAAACACTCTTTTCAGCCTATCATCGTTGTAAAAATAACATAATTCAAATGGTGTATTTGTAGATTGTTACCAGTGTACATAACCAAATAATTATGCCATAAATTATTTTATTATGGATATCGTCTCGAATATTTTTATGTCACAAGCCCAGTTTTGCTGTACGACACCAATCAGGGTACACTGTTCCCTTCAATTGAACCAATCACCAATCAGCTGCAGGGTACCACGTATACTTACACCCAACCAATCAAATACCACGTTCCCTTGAATCACAGCTATCAGGGCATCACTGCCCCTAAACTGATCAGGTTACCATGTTCACTTGAACGTAACTGAAAAGGTAACCATGTTCACTTGAACTTAACTGATCAGGTTACCATGTTCACTTGAACTTAACTGATCAGGGAACCATGTTCACTTGAACTTAACTGATCAAGGAACCATGTTCACTTGACCTTAACTGATCAGAGCACCATGTTCACTTGAACGTAACTGATAAGGTAACCATGTTCACTTGAGCGTAACTGAACAGGTAACAATGTTCACTTGAACTTAACTGATCAGGGGACCATGTTCACTTGAACTTAACTGATCAGGGCACCATGTTCACTTGAACTTAACTGATCAGGTAACGATGTTCCCTTGAACTTAACTGATCAGGGGACCATGTTCACTTGAACTTAACTGATCAGGAGACCATGTTCATTTGAACTTAACTGATCAGGGTACCATGTTCACTTGAACTTATCTGATCAGGGGACCATGTTCTCTTGAACTAAACTGATCAGGGCACCATGTTCACTTGAACTTAACTGATCAGGGCACCATGTTCTCTTGAACTTAACTGATCAGGAGACCATGTTCACTTGAACTTAACTGATAAGGTAACCATGTTCACTTGAGCGTAACTGAAAAGGTAACAATGTTCACTTGAACTTAACTGATCAGGGGACCATGTTCACTTGAACTTAACTGATCAGGGCACCATGTTCTCTTGAACTTAACTGATCAGGAGACCATGTTCACTTGAACTTAACTGATAAGGTAACCATGTTCACTTGAACTTAACTGATCAGGAGACCATGTTCACTTGAACTTAACTGATAAGGTAACCATGTTCACTTGAGCGTAACTGAAAAGGTAACAATGTTCACTTGAACTTAACTGATCAGGGGACCATGTTCACTTGAACTTAACTGATCAGGGGACCATGTTCACTTGAACTTAACTGATCAGGAGACCATGTTCATTTGAACTTAACTGATCAGGGTACCATGTTCATTTGAACTTAACTGATCAGGGTACCATGTTCACTTGAACTTATCTGATCAGGGGACCATGTTCTCTTGAACTAAACTGATCAGGGCACCATGTTCACTTGAACTTAACTGATCAGGGCACCATGTTCTCTTGAACTTAACTGATCAGGAGACCATGTTCACTTGAACTTAACTGATCAGAGCAACATGTTCATTTGAACTTAACTGATCAGGGTACCATGTTCACTTGAACTCCATGCACTCAACCAATTATGGTACTTACTTTTCGGGCACTAGATCAATCGGATGCAGGTTTGTTACTTTGTTTAAGCAGACCTATTTTCTTTACATTTCATGGCATTAAAATATCAAAAACGATTTGGGGTCGTTTTCTTCTAATTATGTTCTTGTATTGTATGTAGAAAAATGAATCAACACAATCTTACTCTAAAACAGTTATCTTACACTGACCCGTTGAATGTTTATAAACATCAGTATGGTTTAAAACAACTACAACGTAAGCGCCAACATATTTAAACATTCCACACAGGCTCCTGTTTATTTGAAGTATCACGATCTGTTCCAGATGGCGTGCTTTTTAGGCTGATACATTTCCACATTATTTGTTGAGCAAAGAGAAAATTGGACAAATTTCTCCTTGACTGAATTAAATAATACCCGAGAAAACGGGTGAATGTGCACAAAACATGACATTCCCAGCATCCTGGGGATTATAAAATCTAGAATAGAAGGAGCTGAAAGGTTTTGCATTGCCATATCATGTAACCGTGTACTCACTCACTGCTGGGCGAACAGAGGTATAATTCAAATATATTTGCTTCACCTGATACATGACCTGTGCAATATATCATGGTGATTTATGTAATAAACTTTCTCACATTATCCGGTACCACAAAGAGACATCGCCTGAACCAAAGAATTGCCCTGACGATGTAGGATATAATAACTACATGTGACGTCATGAAAAATGTTTTTGAGGTAAACACCTGAGGGAAAATTATATTTTTCAGCCCCTCACTCCCCTGAATATCAAACCAGCTGTTCCTCATGATGCTATATAGTATTATTAAACAGAAGTAAAACAGTACCTAAATACATTCATTGGTTTTAATGTTTTGTGAAGTGTTCAAAATGTTATAAGAGCTAGTTTTATTTCTCGCCACCTTTGTTACAGCGCCGACACTCGACTGGAAGAAAAGAGGGATGCTTTGGCTGTCATCTCTCATGATGGAGGCGTTGTATGGATCCCACAAGCTGTTTTTAAGAGTTCTTGCTCTATTGATATTCGGCATTTCCCCTTCGATGTTCAGACATGCGTTCTGAAGTTTGGTTCTTGGACATATGATGGATCTAAGTTGGACCTGGAATTCTTATACACAGTGAAAGGTTTTGAAATGACTGACTATATTCCTAGCAACGAATGGGATATTCTAGATTCTTCAGCTAAGAAGAATGTGAAATATTACCCGTGTTGTCCAGAACCGTATGTTGACCTGACTTTCACGCTGAAGATCAGCAGGAAGGTGGCGTTCTACAACTACATCCTCATCCTGCCCTGTGTCCTCCTCTCTTCACTCACCCTCGTTCTCTTCTGGCTCCCCCCAGAGTCCCCAGCCAAAATGCAGCTAGGTTAGTATTACTGTTAACTAACGGTACACACGTAATGAATCAGCTGTTTATCGTGTACTAATGGAACAGATAGACCGTTACTTTGCACGTAAGGGTCATATAGTTATACATAAAGCATATTGAAAACAAGGGGATCATATAGGCCGCTTGTTGTGTATTTATAGAACATTCATATCATTATATTCTACTAAGGGGATTAGATAATCAGTTATTATTATCATTTCATACCGCTAAGTGCGGCATTAAAACAACAAACAAACTTGTCTGACTAGTATTCTGTCTTATCACTCGCTATCCGAAATGAACCATCAACGTAGGATATATGTTCACCCCGAAATCAATGTTACACAATTTAATCAGTCTACTAGCCACAAAATTTAATGCGTTCTGAAATTAATGCGAATGGGCCTACCATTAAAATTGCCAATCAGCAAATCACTAATCAGCACATGACAAGGCTGGAAACTCAGATATAGCTAAAGGTGATAACAGTTCGCATAAAAATGCGAGCCAAGGACACACATTAATTTCATCCTCGCATTATTTTAATGATGTACTATGCATTTGTTATACGTTCTTCTCTCGTTTTTCAGGAAATGACTACATATATACTGCTTTTGACTTTTTTCAGGAATGAATATATTCGTTGCTTTCTTTGTGTTGCTTCTTCTGCTTGCTGAATCAACCCCGCCAGCAGCATCCTCCATCCCCCTGATCGGTAAGTACCATCACTTGTCGATGTTCATCTATACACGAAGAGCGAGAATCTGTAGAGGAAACTGATTTCCTACCCATGTGTATAGCACAAGCGTAGGTGACTTTGATTCCATGTCTTTGATTGATGAGTGAACGCATACGTAACTTACGGGCTGTGTAAGAAAGGGTAATTCTATGTTCTTCATCTACCAGAGAAAGCCTGTTAATGAGGTAACCCCAGAACTGCACAGGAGAGCTCGCCGACTGATCAGTGAAAGCGCAGCACCTTAGGCTTATAGAGGAAGAGTTGGTTTTCTGTCGGTGAATGATAAGCGAAAATTTGGATAACCTTGGGGTTACGATAGGAATCTATTTTTCTTGTCAGTGATCGATGTGTTGAGGATCTAACTGTATGATGGGTTCAGGGGTTCGGCCGAGTGCCCGTGCACCGTGCACAGGGCATGTATTGCAGTAATGATACACTCAACTACTGGTTCATTCAACATAATCTCAATGATGGGGTCGATATGTACACGGGGTGGTAGTATATCATGGTTTGGCATGTCAGTTACTATGTTAAGAAAGGTTAAGTTTCTTGGGCAATGGCGCATCAATTTCAAAACCACGCATCGAAATCTTTAAAAATCTGTATAAAAGTATGTTTCGTGTTCCAAAACATATCTTCAGTGTTACTGTCAGCCCTCAATACAAGTGTATCTTGATGATATGCTGCAAGTAATTGGTGATTCACTCACTACCAAATTAAAATAAAAATATTTTTTTTCTTTACCGAAAAGTATAAATTTCTTTTGACGCCTCATTACTTTTGTTGTCAATAAAACGGGATAAGGTCAAAAGGCCCCCCTCTCTCATCAAATAAACAAACACGCCGAGAGCTATTTAATTATTTTTAGTAAGAATAATATTGACGCATCTCAGTGAACTGAAGAATCGACATCGCAGCTGTTTTATCTATATATAAAATGTCTTGATGTCATATTTCCACTTCGCGCAGATATTCATGCGTCACGCCCCGCATTTCAACGAAAGAGGTCGATTTTGGTCTGCAGGGCCTCGTAATGAAATCCATGAAAACATATTGTAATTACGGTCAAATGCGGTTCCTATGAGGGAACAATTTGCAACGTTATCATATATGTAAAGAAAGGGAAGTTCCGCGTTTGACACTTTCTAGCCTGTATTAGCGGCTCCTTTGATCGTGTGTCCCACCCATTAAAGGGCGGCCCATGCATTCAGATGAAAGAAAATGTTTCCTGAACATAACCCCTAGCTGTACGAATAGCTGATACCTAAATTGAAATGTTACGTGATGTTCTGGTTTTATATTCCTAGTTGTTGCCGTAAGTAAATTAGTCTATTTATTGAAATAAAAGTTGAATCAAAGAATTTGATTTTATGAACTGTTAGTGATTTCGTTGAAGCACATTGCCAGTCAATCTTTTTCTTGAAAGATGAAAGTGTCCTGGTGTATAAATGATGGATCCAATATGCTTTCTAAAGATGCTTTTAAAAAATGAAATGAAACCTAATTCATGGATTCAAATTCAAAATATGCTTAGCATGCGGTCTCTACACAAGTTACGATAAAATGGCTGGCTATATCATTCCTAATTAGACTGTGCAGATATTTATGTCACTTTGTTTTGATACAAATATATTCTCATTGAAATGACAAGAACCGTCCCCGTGAAGATACGGGTTGGAATGTTCTTCTATAACCCATGCTTGTCGTAAGAGGCGACTAACGGGATGGGATTGGGTGTCATCGCTTTCCACTAGCATACATCGATGCTCATGATGTATAAATATATATAATTCTACTGATCAGCTATGTTATGACGGATTTTTTGTTGCAGGTGCATACTACTGTCTTAACATGATATTAATCACGCTGTCAACACTACTGTCAGTCATTGTGGTCAACCTGTATTTCCGGGGATCAAGAACAACTGTTCCACGTCTGTTGAAGAAGGTCAGTTGGTGCTGTCACAGTACAACTAATTTTACAACCTCATGAAAATCCTCTTCACGAGACTTATTTGACAGCGAAACCTAGTAAACTCGAAATCCGGAATGCAATACCGATTTCTAAAAACAGAACACACCGGTCGTCTTGAAATTCGGACAATTCAACATATTAGCCATAGGGATAGAAAAATGGCGTGTAATTACTTTTAGATATTGACACGTGTACGTTTCACCGATTCTCAATGCTGATTGGTCAATTGAAGTGACATGACGTCGCATTACTATATGTTTTAGAACAATACCACATGACGTCACAAATTGATAACATGACGTCTTGTGAACAAAACATTGACTTCTATGACGTTTTTCTTTTGGGATGACTTGACATACTTGTTTTTTAATATGGTGTATTATAATGACTATTGACCGCTCGGAATAGAATATAATCTGTCCTTCAGGGCTTAAATCATTCCTTTATCAGTACAGAAGTCTATAATTCCTCGTCGCTTGTTGGTAATTATTGGTAATTTATCCCTTATACTGTTTATCTCTACAGACCCGTACTATTCTTGCCGACCGAATTCAGCCCATGCACGGCTTCCTATTGGCCACTAACCCTCATTTAACGAGCTTACCAGTTTGTGCAGGCGGATTGGCGTCACAACTTTTCGTTTTGGGTTAAGATAACGTCTTTTTGAATTACGACATTATGTAAGGACGTCCTGTTTCAATGTGCACATTGCATCTTACCTTTATCCTGACACAGTAGGTGTTGCGGTACATATTGAGTGGTAACTGTCTGACAATATATGGTCAAATTGTTTCATGTTTTTCAATTCTTACCATTTTGAAATAATTCTAATGTTTTCTTTTTCTTTGTTCTCGTGTTGCAGACAGTGCATGATGTATAGTTCCATTTAAAAGATTCTTACTTTCAAACATCATGAAAAATATTTGAATTAAGAGATAAAAATATGATCATTCACTAAATATTTTATCTTGTCAAGTACCTGCCCTCGATTAGTATCTGACAAGGCATCGGCCTTCAATCAGGATCCCTGGAAGTGACCTGTCAAGATGTTGAAAATAAAAAAAAGTATCTACCTGTATTTGATAGTCCCCAAGTGTATAATATACATTTGTAATGTAATCAAATATAACGCATTGTCTAACATTTTGTTTTGCACTCAAACATTAATGTTCTTCTTCTACAGATTATGTTGGACGGGTTTGCGCGTATCTTCTGTATGCGGAACCAACTGGTAGACAAAGGCGAAGAGGACCAGATCGCGGCGGCCACCGCAGCCAACTACGTCAAGAACAACCGAGAGAAGAAACACAGTGACTTCAAGTATGACCGAGTGGGTTGTTACGAGCTTCAGACAGAAGAGAGCTGGCGTGGTATTTCTAACGGCAACAGCATGCATACTCCATCAGGGGAGGCGGATGCATCTTTTGGACATCAGTTTTCTGCTCTTGAAGCGGAGGTGCGAGAAATACGGCGACATATGAAACTGATGTGGGATAAATCCTCACACAGAGAAGAAAAGGAGAGACTTGCTCGGGAGTGGAAGGTCATGGCGCTTGTGCTCGATCGTCTCTTTTTCTTTCTGTATCTGGTAGCCATATTTGCTTCAGCGTTCACAATATTTGAAACGACGATGGACAAGCCAACGAAATAAAAAGATCTGAGACATCAATTATCTGTTAGAACGAGTGACATGACCTAAACGTTGAGTTCTTGGAACGACATATTGAATTGTTGTTTCATGTTCGCCTTGGAACTGGGACAGCAACTTACCTGTAATGTGAAGCAGTTACTTGCATAGTAATGACAAGATGTTTTTCATGTGGTCTTTTGCACTACACACATAAAGGTCTTGCATAACTACCACTTTGTTTCAGACCTTTGCCTCACCTTCAGTGTGGCGTACGTGTAGTATGTGAATGTTGACTGCTGGGCGTTCTCTAACACTATAGTTGCATCATCCCAGCCAACAGAATTACATGATCGCAACGTTGCGGGGACCTTCAGCCTTCCTTTAACTTTTAATGCAACGTTGAATCTACCTTCACGTGGACATGATACACTTTAATATACATTTTAGTATACGTGGACATTCAAATGTGCAAATGGACATTTACAATAGCCAGTGACTTGATCTTAATGTTTAGCAAGCATGCATTCTTTATAAATGTGTTGACGAGACTTTGTACGCGTGGAAAATAGTACATGCGACCAGTGTACAGTCGTGATGCTATGACAATAAGTTGAGTACACTTCAAATCAGGATTTGCGCGAATCTCCGATTCACCCTGATTAGGATCCTTGGTCCTCAGTGCTCGCATTTTTCACCAAAGTTGCAAAAGTCTACACCATCTGCATTACCGCAGTGTACCTGTCGCATTACACCGACACTCCGCCATATAACCCAACTCAATCACTACATCAGTTTTGCTTACATTGTATGTATACATTGTATTTCATGCATGTACATTGCAAGCGTGGGGATACTGTATGGACGAAAAAGGTTATCATTTAATTCATGTTAGACCTAAGAATGTAATGTACATGTATACACGTGTGATATTTTTCGTAGAAGTGGTTGGCACTAGACGTGTATTTATCAGTGTTACAAGTCGTCAACATTACTGCGTGTGCCTACATAGTGGTTAGGAACATAGGCCACGTGGGTTCAAGCCTTGTGATGGCAGAACCTTTTCTGAACCAGCATTATTATACGTCCGTTCATCAGCACTATAGGTATGATCTCTGAACAAATACGCATATACCAAGGCAAGTATTGCGATATCGGAACAGCTACACGCATTACATGGTATGCGATTTCGGAAGAGCTACATGCATTACATGGTATGCGATTTCGGAACAGCTACACGCATTACATTGTATGCGATTTCGGAAGAGCTACATGCATTTCATGGTATGCAATTTCGGTAACGTATAAGGAAATGAAATTAGAATAACAAGTAAAGTGGTTATGGAACGGTGAGATGTCAGTTACCAACAAACAACTGTGTGTATTACAGATACAGTGATTGAGGAACGGCGCGATGCAACTCAAGAGATGAAGGAAAGAAGTCAGCTGGTTAAGCAATTGTAATCATTAGGCTCTGTGATTGCTTGCTGGTACTGTGTTCGCCGCCAACGGCATCATTCTTTATGACGCTAAGTCTTGTGCTAAGATAATCATTTTAGAAAAGACAATAAGAAAATTCAAAACGTCCACTCCAGAGAATAATCAGTATCGATTATCTGCCGAACAGCTTCAGTAAGCCGTAAAAAGGATTTAACGTGATGACACCGGGTGTTCGCGAAATGGGGAAGCATTACCTGCTCTTCCGGAGGCAACAGCAGATATCATCTGAGTGTAGTCCAGAGAAGGAATTACATGCATGGAACAATCCAGACCAGGAGAGTACATTACTTTGCTGTGGCACAGTCGTGATGTTTATATTGTTTCATGTCGATGATACTATATGGGATTGCTACTGCTGCTATTTATCAACTTTCGATGTGAACAACTACCTATGCCATACTATGGCGCCCTATGTATCAGATCGGCAACAGATTGAATTGGTGTCATCATCAGGAACAGAGTGAAGCTGCTACCGACAGAGAACTGATTCCATATACCAGATTCATTCACTCACTTCATCATTCAATTTGACATCATCTAATCCTATGTCACGGACGTAACTCCTCACCTATCGCTGAGACTTGAAGAATGCCTTATCTCTGCACTACAAACGGATGCTACATGGATGCACTGACTTACTCCTATAATTATGGAACCGTGATTTCATTTCACCCTGTTGGTTGCACATCACATCACTGAAGATGGGTGCGCATCACTGTATATCACCAAAGGTGGTTGCACATTATCAAGATGTTGCACATGACACAAACGTATTGTACATCTTTCTGATCGTTGCAGCTCACAAATACCACTCCAATGGCATGGCGTAAACCTAACTTGCAACCAGTCTCTTTTTAGCAGATGTTTTGATGTGAATGTCTGAAACACCTAGTCATAAACAAGTTACGTTTTATGATATTTGGACTTGAATTACGTCGTGCTTCAGAGTTCTTTCTTTTTAAATCAAATCAATACATTCATTTCCTACCATGTGGACTGGCATGTTTGGTAAAAGTGTGTTCAAGTCCAGCCTGGTATTCCTGGTCATGAAGCATAAGCCATTTTTGACAAAATATGTTTGGATGATACAATTAAGTTTCCGAAGATGTGTCTTACGGTTTGGTATGCCATCATAAATACACTTGATGTGTCTTTTGACATTTCATACATATTCTAAGAATGTCTAGGAACACAAAATCTGTGTAATATAAAATACCCCAAGTGGAATTACATAGTGTATGAAGTAAAATGAAATATTGTACTTCTTGACATTCAACAACATAATGGAACACATTGAAAATAAGTCTCAATAAATTCGAGAAAGGAATACATGAACTTCTTAATGAAATATTTTCCTAAATATATTTATAAATATACTAATTTTGAATGTTCGTCTTCATTGCATTTTATGATTCGTAAAGTGTATTAGTGATTTGTTTTTATGTATATAGACATATCTTTCAATAAAAGTGTTGATCACGTTGAACTTGCATGTTCAGTATTAGTTTGACAAAGCAGTATATTAGGGTGTTTGCCTGGTCAGTCTTTGCTTTTTACGTTTTACAAATGTTGTCAAAACCTGAACTCATGAGCGCATATGCAAATAAACCCACAAAACCCTTTCAATATTCATTGCACGATCCCAACTATGTCATGAGCAAAACGACTGACTGTTCAGATATTCAGTCTGCAATAGTTCCAATATTTATTTGGTACATACATTCAGCCTAAACATATGTACCTCAATGATTCAACTATCACTTCATTAAAAAATAAAGGTTAAAAAACCCAATCAATATGGCTACATGCTTTTGCATATTCTGTGCATGCGTCATTCCTCTCCTCAATGCCCCTAGGGAGTCTAAACCTCTTAACTCTTAACACTATGATTGCAATCTGAGACGTCAGCTCTGGTTTACTGGCGTCGAAGGCACAGGGTAATTTGTATAATTTTTCTCCCATTAGGAAAATACAGTTTAGTCAGGTAATCTAGATTGTGTCTGACTTGCGCCCTGCGTATCCATGCACCAAATCCCGGTTATAAGTTCATGGGCGTTTGCCATACATTGGCACTTGCACTGCCCTGCTCTCTTTGACTTTCACCCAGGGACGTCCTGCTGCGCCTTGTCGAACTGGATTTGGCTTTAATTGAAAGATAAACATTATCTGTTTTCAGATTGGCAGGTGTTGTTGAGTATTCCATTTGGAACTGCGGCGTTAGCTGGAGGTTTCAAATTTTAAAATTGAGCAAATCATTAGCATTAGCAAATCTGAAAACAGTTCATGTTTATCGGCAGTTGAAATACAAACATTATGAGTAATGTTTCCTCGTATACGTTGTTTCTTCGTGAACACTCACAGCGGTGGGCCATACATGGAAGACATGACGCCACTATACCTTAGATGAAGTCATATAATTCCATAGCAGAACCCGCTAAATAGAAGTTGTACTGAATAGCACGTTTTTTTTCAAGACACTGTTTCAAGAAGACTATTCATACCTTGTGCAAACTTCGAAACATTTCCTAGATCTAATTCCCTTCATGGACGAGCTGCCATCAGATTACAGCACACACTCGTCATTGTATGACTTTCTCTGGTTGTTCCGTTCAATCAGCTACATTGTTTTCACAGTTAAGAACAAGCTCAACTGAAAGTCAGTCAACACTCTGTCTGCCACTGACGTATGTTCAGTAGTTATATGCCCGCACTTGATCACGTTATATCTTCCACGTTTTTCACCCTTCACTTTTAATAACATAAACAAGCAGATAAAAAGTCGGATTGATAAAAATATGAAATAAATAAGAAACCGATTAAATAATATAAGCATGCCTCTTTTTGTGTCTAAACCGTAATGCTCTTAAATACACTTCTGGTTTTCAATATTATTGTTTGTTAATCAATATTTTGCTATGCTGTTTTTGTTTCCATATGAAATAGATAAGTTGGTTAAACTATATTCGGAGCCAGGGATAGCAGTTAGCGGAACGTATACATGCGCCAATGTACTTTATTGAAAACGTAAACGCCACAGAATAGTCTTGCATATCTCCCGAAATAAATTTCATAGGACGTAAAAGGCAAAGAAGTGATAAACATTTTATGAATGAAGCACTGAAACAGAATGATGACACCAGGTGTTCTCGAAAAGTGTAAGCATACCTTGCTCTATCCGTAGCACCGCCATTCTCACAATGTTCATTATTAAAGTAACTGGCGGCGAGCAGTTGGTGTGAAAACTCTATGTAAAGGTCATAAAGGTTTTGGATAGCATCGCGCATCAATTTTACGAATGACGTATACTATTTAGTAACACCCTCTGAATATCTACCATTGCATGTCTGAAATCACTTAACAAGGTCTTCGATGGTTCATCAAACCCAAAGCCACAGCCCCAGGCACTGTCAAACCTCTGTTCAATTATTACTCATTAATAATTACTGTGCCATTCTATGTCTCAGCATCGGAAAATTAGCAAGCTCCATCCTTCAATTCGTGCACTGCCCCCGGCACCTGGACAGCTTCAGCAACTTTAGGATGTCATCGTCTCCAAACCTGACTGAGTGAGATGTAGGCTAACCCAGCGCTAATACAGTCACAATTCCCATTTAACATACAAGATTTACGATAGTCGGAGATCGCTTTGTTGAATGATGATCACATAACATTTTCCACGCCCGTCCCCAGACAGGAATTGTTCATATCTTCGTACTGGAATCTAAGACATAAAGACTGATAAAAGACCATTAAGGGGCATGTGTGGGGAAAAGTGGACAATTGACCCTCTGCTCTCCTCGTTGCCTGAATTCTGCATAGATTGGCAGGATCGTTTGGCTCACGCTTTAACAGATATATGGGTTTCATATTTACATGTTTCCTCCATCATTCCATACCTTTTCTAACAAAAGTAACAACGAAAACTGCAATTTACTGAGATGTGTTTAATGACGCCTACACCTTTTACAGATTCCCTCTCAGTGATGGTTGTAAGATACTCATTTGAATAGGGCATATTTAGCCTCAGTGATGATCTATGCGAGAACATTCTTAGAGAATGTATGATCTCTGAATCTATAGAATGAATCTGTGGTGTTTGCCGCAGAAGTACAGTACCTTCGCTGGTATTCTCCCTCTCAACGTGTGACCAGAATCGCGAATATGGTGATATTCTACCTCAGTGAAACAAATCAAATTAAAACAACAACGTTTAATATATTACACCTTAACGTCAATGGATGAAGCATGCCTTTAAATCAATCTTTGTTGAACTACACCCAAGGCAATTTTACAAGCCATAATTGTTTTTGCATAATTCCCAAAGTCCCCTCGTTTAACGGCACTAGCCCATCATAAGCTGTACAATCCTTTCATCATATCCACCTTGGTGTCTGAATGCGAAAACCACAAAGAAAGAACACCCACAAAGACAATGTACTGTAATATTCATGTCAGTTTGTCCACTGTTCACAGTCTATGCTGACCATGCTGAGGTTAAGGGATGAATAATGAATAATACGTATTACCTTGACGAGATTATATTGCTATAACGGGATTGCTTTATCTGCTTGATTATACGAATAATCTGTCTTATATACCCCTGTGCTGCACTGATGGTGTCCAAGAGCACGGCTTGCCCTCGGTTGTAAGCTCAGTCGAACGATAGAAGAAAAAAACTCAGTGGGGAAGTTTAAGACGACAGCAGCAGCAGCTAGGTTTATTGTTGGAGGTTGAAGAAGGTAGAAATGGTAAAAGTAATGGTGATCACATGACAGAATAATCAGGCCCCAGGGGCCCACTGTTCCCGGCGCGGAGACTAGCTCTGTCACTTATACACAAACAGGAAGTCGGGCGGTGATTCTTCATCGCCGCATATTCTGTCCGCTTCTGTGGGTAATCCTGGCAAGTCTCTTTATTTGATCATGTCGGTCAGGTTTTGTAGGAAGAGTTATTACATAACGCGGTGCCAGGTCAGTGATCAGGTTCTATCCCACACGAGCCATTTGCCACACTCTACTATTTTGCAAGTTGTCACACAGGGATAAGGTCATCAATTAAGAGAACACCTACTGTTAGAATGGGACAGTCCAACTTACTTAAAAATGTCTGGTCTGAAGGAGATAACATGCCGAGCGAGCTTAAGTCACAGATTTGATAACTAATTCATATTGGAAAACACACTGTAAAGTAAACTGAAACCAAAATAAAAATATCTTTAAAAATAGCGTTCTCCACACAAGGTCAGTTGCACCTACTTCAGACAGATCCCTGAGTGCAGGTCTGGCACTACTTCCCCTGGACCAGATCCAAGCATGGACCTACTCTTGCCCTGATGCTCAACGTGCCGAGGCCTCAACGACTCGGGTCGACAGTGAAGCCAAGTTTCCACTTCATTTATGGAACCATCACCTGACAAATGGCCGACGCACAAACAACAACCTTGAAAGATTTCACACCAGACTGAATCCCACCGTCTACACACTCGTGAGGGCCATAAAGAAGATCGAGGCCCAGGACAAGGCGAAACTGGCAAAGCTCGACTCGCATCGGACCTTAAAGACGCCATGCTCATAATATAGTCGGTATCGTACTCTCGACTGTTGGATTTCTATTGGATATGGAAGGGTTTTGCCGCTTTATTTTAAGACCAGCTCCAACGGGGAAGAAAGCCATTGGTCACCTACTCAAACGTGCTCGAGCCGCAATAATGTGTAATGTCATTGTATATTAATCATAAAGATAATGTAACGTAATATAGTGCTGAATAGAGGTGAATTAGTAAACATAAAAATGCTCTTAACAATCTGGTTTTGTGTTGTACCTGCATCATTCTATTCTATCAGTCAGGAAGAAGAAAAAAGAAGAAAATATTTAATTAAGGTGTCTCATGATATACATACATAAGGACAAACAGTTAAAAACAGTTATTGTATATCATCCGGCCGATATGGCCTATGGGACACCAAATATCTCATAAGTACAAATAAAAGCACATAGTGTGCTAAAAACACAAATGTTACAAAAAAATACATTTAAAATAAGCGATGTAAAACGTGTAAGAGGCACGGGCGCGCGACATGTATCCCGCATTAAGTAAATGATTGGATAGATATAGGTAAATAAAATAGATGGATAGATACAACTACATGTGCAACAGTCATAGCAATGCGAGACAGACGGTGTAGGGTAAGAGGAAGGGAGTAGCCGTGCAGTCAACCAAGCTTGTCCTATGTTGTGTACAAAGGGTACCGTAAGATTCGGCGGCGTGAGGGGCTGTCCATCGGGGAGCTTATGATTAGATGGGATATCCACCATATTGAAAAGACAAACGAAATAGAATTTTAGTGCACTTTGGCAAGATTGAAAAAAATAGATATTTTGCATAAATAAAGTTTTAAAGAAAACCCATTGAACTTCTTGCAACTCTGATAGTACTACTCAGTGTTTGAATGGCTTGAATGGAAGATCCACGGCCAAGGTAGATTTTACGTGTGAATCTAACAGTTGATGAAACATACATTGGGTTGTTTAAGATTCAAATGCTTCGGCTTTGTATACGCGATCGCTTTCCAATCTTATGTCAGCAAAACGTCACATCAGAGTTAAATATTTGACGATCACCATATTTTAAAGATTATCAGGACTCTGAACCGAACGATGCGTTACATGCGACACGGATGTTAGGGATTAACACGAGCTCAGCCTTTGCTCTCGCGGAAAACCAGCTTGAGAAATTCAGCGACACTTGTTACTCATACGGTCTCAAGCTACCGTCCGTTTGTAAGTTTATAA